AGTGTTGCATGGTGCATAGAACTAAAGCTTCGCTCTTTCTTGACCCTCGCTAGCAGCCAAAAGCCCTTATCAATAATGGTAATACCTCGAGGCTTATGCCTGGTCTCCTCTTTCCTTTTCGTCAGGAATCCTCCTGTTCCTATTTAGGAATTAAACCTAGATTTTGGTTGGTTAACTGATTTAGCCTTAAGGCTACTTCCTTTCATTTACCGCCTTCAATTTTTTATAGTCAAAACACCTACTTTAACTTCAAGATTGATTCTTTCATCCGGTCTTGCTAGCATAAATGGGATAAAATCCGACAACGGCCAAATATACCCCAACATGGTTTTACCGTGTTCTCTACGGCTTCAGAGGGGGCCAAAGCCCCGCCAACTTGGGGGGGAATTTTCAGAGGAAATAGGTAACTCGTTGAAGTGATGAAAGGGAGCTGGAGAAGTAAGTAACCACTCAAGGGTAGGAGCCGAGGAAGTGAGAGTAGTAGGAATATTGGACTCAAAGAACGAAGGAATAGCCCAATGATTAGCGGAGACTTGGACACGAGAGCTTAATTGAACGTATAGAAGATAAAGGAAAACTAAAGTAGCCATAAGTGAGATAATAGAACCGAAAGATGCCATAAGATTCCAACCCGCATAGGCATCCGGGTAATCAGGAATCCGACGTGGTTGCCCTGCGAGCCCCAAAAAGTGCATAGGCATAAATGTTAGGTTTACACCAATAAATAGAGCCCAGAAGTGAATATGACCTAGCAATTCATTGTAAGGGTGACCAAGGATTTTTGGTGACCAGTAATACCAACCAGAGAATAACGCAAAGACTGCCCCCATTGATAAGACATAATGGAAGTGGGCTACGACGTAGTAAGTCTAATAGAGGATTCTGGACTATATCTTCACCCTCTAGTCTCTAAAGGCTACCAACCCCTTGTCTTGCGTAGGTTACATTTACCCTTTATTTAACGCAACCGAGCCCCCGACCAAAGGCATGTTTGGTGTATAGTCTCTGAGGAACCTGCTTAGGTTACAGTTTCCTGCGGATTGGGTTACTAATATCCTAGGGATAATTTGATGCCCGTCTTGCTTGCGGCGGGGGGCCTACGGCCCGCTCTATCTTGCCCCCCAGCAACCATAGCAAGGCCCATCAAGCCTAGAACTCTTTAAGCCTTCCCCGCATACTACCAAATTTAGCCGCGACTATGATTATAGCAGTTCCCACTGGCATCAAGATATTCTCTTGG